GGTTGCCAGCCAATCGCAGGGCACACAGAAACGAACAACCATTCGCGCTCACACTCACACCTAGGGACAATTTGGAGTGTTCAATCAGCCTGCCATGCATGTTTTGGAATGTGGGAGGAAACTGGAGGACCCGGAGAAAACCCACGCAAGCATGGGGAGAACATGCAAACTCCACATAGGAAGGCCGGAGCTGGAATTGAACCCGGTACCTCTGCACTGTGAAGTCGACGTGCTAACCACTCGACTACCGGCCCGCCCTCACCCAACATTAATTAATGAATTTATTAATTCAAGGTCAAGTGCGAAGTCATTTTATAAAATCCAAAATTATTATTTTTTTATGTAACAATTAAACAAAAAATGTTTAATAAAACACGAAAAAAAAATTCTATTTCATAAATTCTCAAACCCGGAATGGTGACATCACTTCAATGATAACAATAGCAAGGCTCAATATGGAAAGTGTACAAAGCCAGCTCGAAATTGATTTGGAAAGCGATGTCTGAGGTGTTTGAAGATTTGCAGGAAGAGGAGATTCTTGGCAATATGTATCTGGGACCAAACATATATGAGCCAGATGCTCAGGATTCGGAAAATGTTGTGCCCTAAAAGCCGGTCAAGGAGTGGACACGAGACTCATCGGGATTGGAAGAATGGTAGGCTATATCGGCTGCGATTTTTAGCCTGGCATTATTTGCAATTCGATGCCATGCCGTGCTGGAAATTGCACATGATGGGATTACCGACTTGGTTCGATTTATTCCCGCGAGCACTGGTGTCCTACATTGTCATTGCTAAACTACTTCTGTTGCGTTGTAGGCCACTGCGCACATTATGTCGGCAGGCTTGTTAGTTGCAAACTATTACAGAGGATTCCATCGATGCACTCTTATAGTTGAATGTTTTCGTACAGGATTCTATTCATGTACACATATAATATTTTAAATCGAATGTTTCCATTATTAAACAACAACCACAGTTATTCATTGATTGGCGGCAAGGCATTCTGTAAATGACATCACTTGCCGGAGATTGCCGAACAAAAGCATTTTCATTCTTAAGCGGGTTGTTGTGGGTCTAACTATGAAGCTAGGTGGGTTGCATTAAAAAAAAAAACAAAAAAAAAAAAAACGTAATGAAAATATGCTTGAAATAGTTTTTGTTATAATTATTACTCAAAATATGATTGGCCGAATTTACTTCACACTTGACCGTTAAGGTTAGCGTCATTTCAAAAATGGGCATAGCTAAAAATAAGAACAATTGACCCCACATAAGAAATGTGGGGGAAAAAAATCATCACTATAAGGTGAAATAAAAATAAATACACATTGCTTATATACACATCTAGATCTTGTCTGAGCAATTATGTATGTAAAATGAAGACAAAAGCTCATATCAGTCCAACGATACATGTGTTCTCAAGTACACTTTTTTTTTTTTCTTTGAGAATTTAAAATTTGTCAGGACTGTGAACAACACTCTCTGTGATGCGTCAGATTTTCATGACACATTTTAACTTGAAAAGGACTGAAATGTTTGGTATTGGACTTTCAACTCCTGCCACAGATTTTCGATGGAGTTGAGGTCTGGAGACTGGCTATTCCTCAGTCGGAGCCACTCCTTTTGTTGCCAAGGTGATTGGTTTGTTCTTCAGTCCTCTCACTGATAGCGGGAGGCTTTGGCTTAATACAGTATGTCACGATAATATATGGCCCCATTCATTCTTTCCTTCAATCTCCGGAGGGGGGCCCCAGTGACCCGCGGCTGGGCAAGGGAAACCAAAGTCTATATATTTTATTCATCAGGGTCGGTCAATTAATCCATGGAAAAATCAATGATAAAAAAATATGATGGTGATAGTCCTACAATGCACCAATCAACATCAATTACAAGTTAAGGCTTCGTTGTCTTGCTTTTACAATATGCTTTCATGTTTTCAGCATTAAGCAAAATTTGCCTCGCTGTTACAATACACTTTGGAACAGTGTATTTAGGAGTAACAGATCAAGCCCCCCCAGCACTATAGTAGGTCCCTTTCTTTTTCAAATCAGCAGTTTGCCACCTGAGTGTATCATCCCTGTTTCGATTGAGGAAGCTGTCTGAGGTGGGGGTCTCCGGGGGCATCATTAGGGGGCATTGTATCAGTGTTTAAAAAACTCTTACTGACAGAATTTGCCTTGAAGCAGCACTCAAAACAAAGCACACCTGTCCACACTTACTCTTGCTCTTTAAACTGTCTGGCTTTTAATTTTTTATATTTTTTTTGTTCCTTCCTCATGGGATCTACTGCCCTCCGAGGCACACCATCCATTTTTATGAACAAGTACTATATATATGCACTCACACTGAAAGTAAAGCTCCTCATCTCCCTCTTGATCCGCTTTACTGTACCCGCAGTGCCTGCAGCGGCATAAGAAGAGAGGGGCAACCATCAGATGAAGGCAGAAAAGAAACAGATGAACACATTTAATTGCATGAATGGCAAAGCGGAAACCAACAATACATTATAAATGAACTAGACATGGACACTTTATTTTAGAAAAGTTTCGAATCATATCCACTGCAATATAAAAAGACATTGAGTGACGCCGGTCAACGTCCAATCAATTTATATTTCAAAACAGTGATGTCCATGTAAAAAAAAAAAAAAAAGGTTATCCGGTCATAGGGCCTCATTTCCAAATGGTTTGCATGTGCAAAAGTGCCACAAATTTAATGGCTCACACAAACCAATGAGGAAGCGGACCTTCTCACTTGATGCACCAAAGATTGCGTCCACGGAGCAGTCAATTTTTGAGCTTTAACGTGCAAAATACTGGCAGACGTTAATGCACATTATTTTATTTTATTATTTAAACAGCCGTTATGGGAATGACCAAATCTGAGACGAAATGCACGGTTGGAATTTGGGTCTTTCAAGAGCATGTCTGGAAGGGCTGGCGCAAACCGGAACAGCTGTGGTTATTGTGGCTAGCAGGAGGCAGAGCAAAAATGAAAGGCGACGGGGAGAACCGATGTTTTCCATTCATGTAAACATTTTCGAAATGCCATAAAAAAAGTTATTGAGACGTAGTGAGTCTTCAACAATGCAATTTTGGAGCCAGTCACAAGACAGAGTCTTGCCATATAATCTAGGACAAAACCTGATTCAATTTCCTTGCATCTGGGTCATTTCAGTGCACTGTGGCAATTGATGCTGGCCTCTCCCAAGGCAGTTTTCGAGTGTGCTCTCCCACATTTTAAACAATGACAAGCAGGAGGGCTAGAGACATCCAATTGTCACGCACTTGGACAAGATTGTATAAAACATGCTTTTTCTGCAGTTGCTGGCATCCCCCAAATTATTGGAGCCAGAGATTTAGTTTCTGTAACGCTGAAATATGTTTAAATATGTTGGTTTAAGCGTTCCAATTCTATCACATCAAAGTTCATTTTTGCGCTTCAGTGCTCTCCCAAATTTTCGATTGTGGAAACCATCTGAGATCCCAAAAGCAGTGGTTCTCAATGTGTGAGTACACCCTCACTCACACGTGTTGATGATTCTCCAAAAGTAAAATGCAACACAACTTAATTATTAAATGAAAATCATTTTTATTTCATCTGATTAATTTGAACATGGCGGCCCGGTCGTCGACGAGTTAGCACGTCGGCCTCGCAGTGCAGAGGTGCAGGGTTTGATCCCGGCTCTGGCCTTAACTGTGTGGAGTTTGCATGTTCTCCCCGTGCCTGTTGGGTTTTCTCTGGGTACTCCGGTTTCCTCCCACATTCCAAAAACATGCGTGGCAGGTTAATGGGACACTCTTAATTGTCCTTCGGTGTGAGTGTGAGCATGGATGGCTGTTTGTCTATGTGTGCCCTCACAATGGTCGCGAGGCATGATCTTATATATATATATATATATATATATATATATATATATAAAACTGTTAAGATCACTGTCTATTTGCATAAGATGTCATGACAGGATGACAGGATGGGTGACGATGAAGCTTGTGAATGACAGAAAAGCTAATTGGCAATCAGACTCACAAAAGTGGGGAGTCAACGGGGCCTGAGAGAGCGTACCTTCTCCCGATGATAAAGCCAAAGACCATGAACACCAGGATTATGGTTCCTGCCACTGCGACCACCGCTATTATGATTACAGGGTTCTGCTCGCTGGAGACAATTGCAGCTGATGAGAGGGAGACACACACACACACACACACACACACACACACACACACATGCAGAAAAATAGAAATGCTCAGTTACATTTAAAAGAAACCGTTTGCAGTCAATAAGACATTATTGGGCACAGTGAAAGATATTGGGATTGATATGCAATTCTCACTCCCTCCATACAACTCCAAAACCTTCCCACACATACCCCGGATGATACAACGTTTTTATTTGTGATGCATGAGTCTCCTTTCTCTAAAAGCGATGTCCTTCATGTCAAGGACACAATCCACAAGGGTTAATTCCCATCTAGAGCTATCAACTGCAACAGCTGTCAAATCCTTCCTCATCTTATTTGTTCACCAGACTTTGTGCCCCATTAGACATCTTTTTGTTTCCCAGACTGAAACATGAACTGCGTGGTCAAGATTTTGACAATCAATCAAATTTTGTCTCCTGATGGCGTCCCCAAGGGGAAGCATAGATCAAGATCAAAAAGTATTGGGCCTAAAATTGAACCCTGGTGAACCCCACATTTAATTTCATGGGTTTTGGAGGAACAAGTATACATACTTACAAAGAAACTAGTTAAAAGCAGTCCCAGTGATGCTCATCAGGTTTTTAAGTCTGTTTCATAAAATGTGGTGATCTACTGCATCGAAAGCGGCACTTAGATCCAATAGCACCAAAACTGAGTTTTTTTCATGTCTGCATTGCACCTGGTATCATGTAAAACTTGAGCTGTCTCTGTACAATGGTTCATCCTAAAACCAGATTGACATTTCTCAAAGATATTATTTGTACAGTATTTTAAAAAATGATTTAATTGGAGGAAAGGTAAATTCTCTAAAATCGGACTTAAAAACGGTAAATTGGATCCAGGTGGGTCATTCTTAAAAATGCTGCAGTCCAAAACTGCACGATTTCAGAAGGGGCTTCAACAGCACCATTTTCAAGGCGGCGGGGAATACACCTGTCTGAAGAGAGCGATTAACGACATGGACAATATGCTGGGATATGCATGGTGGTGCTTTTTTTTCTGTGTGTGTAAAGTGAATGAAATTGAATGCCGTTACCCTTGTCAACAGTTTGTGACAAACCTTTATGTGGTGATGACAGAATTGTGGTTAAAATAACGATGACCCAGTGAAAGACTGACGACTGATGGACTGGCAGACCGGTGAAATTTACTGATGGGTCCTAAAATAGCCATGACCAACTGTAATTTAGCGATGACAAAAGCATGGTTAAAATAACGCTGACGGAGTGACGGTAGGACGATTACAGTTTGGTTCGTCTTGACGTCATGACAGATTGACGATGACGGGCGGATTTCCCGGCCGCTGGAGAATGATGGACAGGAAAGATTTACTGACGCGCCGGCCTCTGCTGTCTCCGATGTTGTCAATTCATTACATAACTGTGTAAATTACAGTACAGTCCATTATAAAATGGATGTGAGTGTCACTGTTCAAAGCAAGACAAAACATGCAAAATTGTGATTAAATATAATGACTTTTAAAATTTGCTTGAAACGTTGCAGATTTTTGCCGTTTTCATCCATCAGTGAAATGAACAAATACCGGCACAGGCAGCGGCACGCATTCTTGTGTGAGTGATTAGATTAATTTGGAATTATGCTCACAAAAGTTTTTCATTTTGCATCGTCCTTTCCCCAGCGACGTGATGTCAGCATAAATGGTAGCAATTTGTTATTGCTTTGCTTGAAGTCAAATAATTTCCCAAGGCTCTCACTATAGTTAGTTGTGATAACAATCAGGTTGAGTATAACTCTTGAGTGGAAAATCTGTGTTACCAACTGCACTGATGAAATGCTGTGGTCAGATTCTCCCACAGTAAACCAATGGTGCAAATTGTGAGAGTCAAATGAAGATTGTTTTGAAAATTACAGCTGGTGGATCATTTAAGGGTATCCTGGATGTTCTATATGTCTCCCCGCTCCAACACACCTGATTCAAATGATCAGGATCGTTCTCGAGCTTCTGCAGATCTTGCTGATGAACTGATCATTTGAATCAGGCATGGAGGAGCAGGGAGGACAAGTAAAACATTCGTCCATTTTGTGGACAAATTGCGACAGTTTTGAAGGACAAATGTGGCGAACTCAAGCACATGTATAACGACATATTCACACTTAAGGGTAAAATGTGCGATGGTAGACCTTACCGGTTTCCTCTTCCTTTGTCGTTATCTCCATTCTTGGTCCAAAAGTTCCATATCCTGCCTGTGTGAAGGCTCTTATCTGGAAAACATAGGCTGTACTGGGCTTCAGATTGTTCACGGTTGCCGATGTGGATTTGGCCCTGACTGTGGAATAGGTTCGGTCCTTCTGATCCTAAAAGTTAAATGAGAATAAAGCAAACATTTGGGTCACAGCAAACATGAAAAAAAAGTCTGAGTTTTCACATCTGGCCAGGTCAACACAAAATGGAAAGCACCTCAACTTTGCACCGGTTTTTGAAATTGGATTTACCCCAAATCAGAAAAAAATATGGACCTGTTCAAATATTCACTCACATAAGAGAATAATGCGTGCCACCTCAGCATAAATCACAAGATTTCTGTTTAACAAGAAATTAAGGATTAACTCTGCACGTTAACACTAGTTATTTATACCCATGTGACAGTGAAGAATGTTAAAAATGTCATTTTTGTCTTACGATGGACACAATTTAAATCAGTATAATATATCTACATAGATAAATAGACAGATTGCTAGCATAGCATAGAGTGGTCATCATGTTAGCATATTTGCATGCTCTCCCTGTGCCTGCATGGGTTTTCTCAAGGTGCTTTGGTTTCCTCTCACGATTCAAAAACATGCACATTAGGCTAATTGAACAATCTATATTGTTCCTAAGTGTCACTGCGAGTGTAAATAGTTGTTTGTTTATGTGTGCCAAGCAATTGGCTAGCAACCAGTTCAAGGTATCCGTCGCTTACTGCTGGAAGTTAGCTGGGATCGGCTCCAGCACGCCGGCGGCTCTCATGAAAATTAAGCGGTTCAGATCATGGATGGATGGATGGATGGATTTTAGCATACAGATCCAGGGAAACTTGCATTTTTTTCTGCTATTATTTTTTATCAAAGTGGGAAGTCGCACTGTCATTGAAAAGATTAAGTCACAAATTTTGTTTGATAATATTTATAATTTTTTAGGCTAATATAGCTAATATAGATACATACAGCATGTGTTGCCTTCATTGTAAGGCTTATAGAAAGAAGGCTTTTAATTTTTTGCGGCTCCAGGCAGATTTGTTTTTGGTTTTTTTGGTCCAATATGGCTCTTTCAACATTTTGGGTTGCCGACCTCTGATCTATGGCAAGCGCTTCCAAACACTCCCTTTTTTCAGTTTTCCTTTTTTAGGAGCCATTCTGACCGTTCATAGCTTTAATTACTTGTATGGCATAAATTCAGCATGTCGACATGAGACCTGTTTTCGCATTCATTCATAACATTCATTCAACATAACGCGGTCGCTTGTGGCATCGATGAGTGGATGAATCTATTGTAGGTGGGCGGAAATTCTGCCTGGCAGCAACGGTTCATTGTCTTAATTGAAGACATACTACATTTCAATGAAATATTTGGCCCTATACGGTCAACAGTAGAAGATAAGAAAAACATTTACCTACTTTTTTATAATATTTAATTTCATATTCTGTGATGGCCCCATTGAGTTGTCGGGGCTCCTGCCATGAAAGCTGGATGCTGCGCTGCTGCACTTTTTCTTTGATGACCTCACCGACGATTGATGGTGCTGCTGAGAGAACAACATGCACAATAAGAATAAGACCTTTGTTTCGACATTCATGAAGCAACTCATTAGCCATCTGTAACGACTCCATCAACAATCCGTGTCCCGAAAAAAAATGATGAACATCCTCAGGGGAAAAAAAATGAATGAGGTGGAGACAAGACAATACTTCGATTGATTTCATTCTGTAAACATATCAACAAGTATCAAGAACAGTTGACAGAAGCCCGAGAGCACAGCTCGAAAAAATATCAATTGAGTATGTACAAAAATAATTTATTCTGATAAACTTTCATTCATCACCGTCACACTTGCATTACTAGGGCTTTGTAACCTCTGGGGAAATAAAGTCAACCGCAAAATGGAGTCAACATGGAAGAACATTATGAGGGAACATTCACAGTGACGGAAATAGAGTTGGAGAAACAATGTATTCCCCATTCAGGGTCTTATTTAAGAGACTTTCTCAAAAATAATTTGTGGTGATTATAAGGTCCGACTAAAAGCATTCAATTTTCTCAAAAGCCGAACGTGCACCTTATAATCAATCCGATGCGCCTTAAATATGGATTTTGATTTCTTAGACGTAGTATTTTAAATGTTCTGTGAAGTGCTTTGTTTACAGCTGCAGCAGTTGTGAAAGCGTTATGTAAATGAAGCTGGATTGTATTGTATTCCCTTTAGCATAGCCCCATCTAGTGGATGCATAACGCAACCGCAGTCACAAGTGTAGCTTCTATTCTAAGCACCTTAAAACCCAGTGCACCCTATATATGAAAACTGTTTTATAATAGGCCATTCATTGAAGGTGCACCTTCTATTCCGAAGCGTCTTATCGTGCGGAAAATACGGTATTCAGACTATCAGACGAGCTGAAAGAGTCAGATAATCACAGAAAGAATTACTGGAAAATGTGTTTCATAAAATTCCAATTGGATTTGTTGTAAAATAGGACACTTGGGTATTTTATGTGTGTGTGTGTGTATATATATATATATAATGCTTTCACTATTTCACGATTTCATTTAAAAAAATCACGATCACTATACATAGGGCGGCCCAGTGGATGACTGATTAGCATGTCGGTCTCACAGTGCACAGGTGCAGGGTTCGATTCTGGCTCTGGCTTTCCTGTGTGGAGTTTGCATGTTCTCCCCGTGCCTCTGTGGGTTTTCTCCGGGGTGCTCCGGTTTCCTCCCACATTCCAAAAACATGGATGGCAGGTTAATGGAACACTCTAAATTGTCCCTGGGCGTGAATGTGCGTGCGGATGTTTTTCTGTGTGTGCCTTGTGGCTGGCGACCAGTTCAGGATGGACCCTGCCTACTGCCCGATGAAAGCTGGGATAGATTCCAGCATGCCCGCGACCATTGTGATGATAAATCAGATTAAAAAATGGATGGATGGATGGACTGTTATATAGAGTCTCTCCTTGGTTATTTAAACTGGTGTACAGTAGCTGAAGCATTACTTCTACCTTTATATCACTTTTTTTTAACCCGAGTAAATGTCCATCTATTTCTACATCTATCCAAGACAACGGACGAGCTTCTCTTCCTCACAAGGACCAACAAAAACTTTGCGTCTCACTGCGACTGTTTTGTTCTCAGCTCACGCTACATGTGTGAACGTCAGACTGACTGCTTTAATTAGTGACACTCACTGAGAGACAATACAAGGCAAAGAAAATCCTTATAATTGATGTGGGAGACTTGTCAATCACTGCAACAAATATCATTGCTGAGATCTCTACTTGCATTATGCAAATCTGCGCTGCTCGCAATCTGTCACTAAATGGCGATCACATGCAATCACACTGCTGTTGAAAATGAAATAAACGTGTCTGGATCCAAATACATTTTGAAGTGGGGTAGCCATTTACTTGTAAAATGTATCTGGATCCAGATGATCTCATTTGGTGCAACCAGTTGGCAAAATGATATAAAGAACATTTAAAACATCGTTCTTTTCGGTGTGGTGCTTCCACAATGTTGATTCCCCTGAATCGAGTTAAAAACATTGCCTCGCAGAGGTCTGAATAATTTACGTGATGTCTGCATGTACTCTTGCGGAACACAACCTGTAGCATACGACTGAATACAAATCAGCCCTTTTCAACTGCCACATACTCTGAGGCCCCCGACAAAATCTAAACGTTGCGGCTTGTCACACGGCATTCAGAAATTATCTGGCTGTTTGTATCTGCTCCTACTTCGTGACGAATCGTTCAAGTTGGTCAAAATAAAGTTTCTGTGTAAAAATAGGACTGACTGAATATAAATGTGGTTAGTGGCAATTACAGTAGTACATGCAATATTACTCGTATTATCTACTTGATAGCACACAATCATTTTCCATACTAAAAAGATCATTTCTGATTCCCCTTTGACTTCCTACTTTTGACTCCTGACTGTCTAAGACAGGGGTGTCAAACTCATTTTTGTCGCGGGCGATTTTGGGGTTACGTCTTCCCTCAGAGGGCCGTTACGAGAGTGCAACTAAATAAATGATGATATATTATTATTTGTACACAACACATCGATGGATTACCAGTTTTGAAATCATTTAAATCAACAACAATAGTTTGTTCAATTATTGTTTTGAGTGAGTGTTAACACGGTCACAAAATTATTGCAAAATCTCAACGTTATTTATTACACATGACAATTTGACATTTCGGTACAGATTTTAGAAAGGATCATGGTAGTTAACACACATGATTTGCTTTCACGGGCCACAAAAAAATGACGTGGCGGGCCGGATCTGGCCCCCGGGCCTTGGGTTTGATACCTGTGGTCTAAGAAAACAGTATAAATGTCATGACTGATGGTTTTGTTTTGATTTGGATTTGATTTTGTTTCACGTTATGTTTTGTCTTCTTTTCATGCCCGTCTCGTGATGTTTTTGTGTCCATCTGTTCTCATCAGCCCTTCGTGTCTACCAATCATCTCCCTCAGCCACTTGCATCTTGTTCAGGTGTGCCTCATCGTCTCGTCAGTTTGCTTGTATTTATTTCCCTGGTTTGGTGGTGTGTTTTTGGTGGATTCTTCAGTGTTGCTTCTGTTCAAAAATGAATGCTCAATAACTTAACTAAGGAGAAGAAAAAAGGCAAAGGGGGATGATTAGATCTTCTCACTTTCTTCTTCCATAATTACATGGGGAAATTCTGATTCAAGTTTTTTTTTTTTAAATGTCTGTTCTTTTCTAATTCATGGGTTGATTTTGACAGACCAATCGTGGGAAATTATTTTTTTCTGTTTAAAAAAAAAAA